CAGAGGTGAGTATTACAGCATTTTCTCAGATGCATATATGGTTGAATTATAAAAAAAGAAGAAAAAATATGTAAAACCAGAATATATAAATAGCTCAGGTACACTTAATGAAATATGTAATTATAGTCAGATATTGCATTGGTTACACTTAAACTGTGAAATGCACGCACACAAGAATATACAGACACATCTGCATAGTTCCCTTCTTACACACTCACACTTGCTTTGTACTTACACCCACACCCAGACACACACCCACACTCACACTCACTTCTTCACATACACCCACACACCCTTATCCCCATCACCATCATCATGCCTAAACCTACACCTACACCTACACCCACACCCACACCCACACCCACACCCACACCCACACCCACACCTATACCCACACCTACACTCATACCTACCCATACCCATATACACTCCACTCCACACCCCCACCCCCACCCTCCCACACACACACACCATACACAAACACAGGAAGAAAACAAATAAGCTTAGAGAGAGAGAGAAAGAAAGAAAGAAAAAAAAAAAGCAAAATTGCATATCATGATTTGTATAATTCATCCAGTTGGCTTGGAAGGAGCCTCGTTCCAGAGTCGCATGCCCTCGGACAAGCTCACCACCCTGGAGGGATCGCTCTTCTCCGACATCGTGAAGAGTCCCCCTCCCACCCACCGGCTCTTCCTCCACATCAGGAACAGGATTGTGAGTGTTTGGGGGTTGGGGTGTTGGGGTGTTTGGGGGTTTTGGGCATTTGGGCGTTTGGGGTGTTTGGGGGTTTGGGGGGTTTGGGGGTTTGGGTGTTTGGGGGTCTGTGCTTGTTAGGATGATTTGTTTCCTTCTTCTATTTGATAATTGTTTATATGTATTTTTTTTGGGGGGGGGAGGGGATAGGATATGTTTTTTAATTGCTTTTAATGGAAACTAAATTGGACACTATTTTTTAATGATTATTTATAAACGTGTTCATATGTTTCTGTTTGTTTTTGTTTTTGGTAGGATGCCATTATTGCCTTATGAATAAAACTGAAAGAAATATATTTATATAAATATAGATGTTACTTATATACTTTCCGTTGCAACTGACTATACATCACACCTCTCTTGAACTAGTTGCAAATGTGGCTTGAAAATCCTCTGCAAGAACTGACTTATGAAGGCGTCATGGCAAACCTCGAGCAACCTTTCAACTCCGAGAGTGTGCTATGTGCGCGCATCCATGCCTATCTAGAACGCCATGGGTACATCAACTTTGGCATCTTTAAGCGTGTGAAGGTTAGTGCATCATGTTTGTCGTGTCCGTTATCACCATCATCATTATCATCGTCATCGTCATCATTGTCATCTTCATCGTCATCTTCGTCATCTTCTTTGTCATCGTCATCTTCATCATCATCTTCATCGTCATCTTCTTTGTCATCTTCATCTTCATCTTCATCTTCTCTATCATCATCATTGTCGTCATCATTGTTTTCTTCATCATCATCATCATCATCATCATCATCATCATCATCATCATCATCATCATCATCATCATCATCATCATCATCATCATCATCATCACATCTTCAAATAAAATATATTCAAAGCATGATTTTTATACAAAATGGAAAGATTTACTAGACTTTTCCTCCCTCTTCCAGCCGTTGCCGCAGAAGAAGTATGGGAGCATCATTGTCATTGGTGCCGGCATTGCAGGACTTGCAGCTGCCCAGCAACTCAATTCTTTTGGGTTTGAAGTCATTGTTTTGGAGGCGAGGGTGAGTTCTTAGTCTCTCTCTCTCTCTCTCTCTCTCTCTCTCTCTCTCTCTCTCTCTCTCTCTCTCTCTCTCTCTCTCTCTCTCTCTCTCTCTCTCTCTCTCTCTCTCCTCTTCCTCTTTCCCTCTATTTTTTTACCCTCTCTATCCTTCCTCCACTCTCCCATCATCCACTCTTCTTCCTTTCCCCTATTTTGCTCTTTTGCACTCAACTATTATGTAACACATTAGAAAAATTATTATTGAAACCATGCACCCCAACATGAACTAGGAAAATCCCACCTGAGAGTTTTTCCAATTCGACAGGACCGGGTTGGGGGCAGGATAGCAACCTTCCGAAAAGGGGCATACATCGCCGACCTTGGAGCGATGGTGGTGACGGGGCTGGGAGGCAATCCCCTTAATGTCCTCTCCAAGCAGATCAACATGGAACTCATCTGTATCAAGCAGAAGTGCCCGCTGTACGAGTCCAACGGGAATACGGTGAGTTGTTGCTTGTTGTACCTGTTAGGGTGGTTGATACTCTTCTCCTGTGCTCTAGACCTGTTAGGGTGGTTGATAATCTTCTCCTGTGTGGTCTAGTGCTTGAGTTCTGCTTTCTTTGGGTGTGACCAAAAGTGAGTAGCTTCAGGTCTAGGTCAGGAGTGATATAGGAGGTGGATTTATTTTTGAAGTTTGTGTTCTGAATGCTTCTTATAATGTACATATAAAAAATAGAAGAGTGATGTGCCATTTTATTTGATAATGAACATTTTTCTGAATTCATAGGTATCTTTACTCTTCTCTGCAGGTGTTAAAGGATAAAGATGAGATGGTCGAGAGGGAATTTAATCGTCTCCTTGAAGCAACCAGCTTTTTGTCTCATCAGCTCGATTTCAATTATGTTGATAACCGTCCTATTAGTCTCGGAGAGGCGCTGGAGTGGGTTATCAAGTAAGTTGAAAAGAAGTGGCTTGGCTCAGTAAATCTGATTAAAGAAAATAAATACAGATGAATATATATTGCTTGCTTTATGGTTTGTGTGATACAGATGAAGTTGTATTTTTTGTGTGATGTTCTATTTCGAGTGACATATGAATCTGTGGGTGGCATTAAGTCATTGCTATCAAGCCACTTTTGAAAAATTCCATCATAATATTTTGTTAATATATATCTTTCTTTGACTATTTCTAAACAAGCTTGCAAGAAAAGAACGTCAAAGAAAAACAAGTTAATCATTGGAAAACAGTTGTCAAATTACAAGAGAAACTCAAGACCGTTTTAAATAAGGTGAGTAGAGATCTTAGTTCAGTTTATTGAGAAAAGTTATAAAGGTTTACTGATATTTTAGAGTGTTATCATTTTAACAGTAAAAACTATGTAACGTTTGAATTATGCTAATGTTCTGGTGATTTTTTTTAGATGCACACACTTCATGGGAAGATTGAAACCCTTCATAAAGAGCATGAACAGCTGAGCGAGAAGAGAAATTCCCGAAATATCACAAATGAATTTGTTTACCGTGTAAAGCTGCGGGAATTGCAGAATGCTTGCAAGGTAACTGTGCTTATAATTTGTGCCCTAATTAATGTAAATTATGTAAGTATGTATGTATGTAAGTGTGTGTGTGTGTGTGTGTGTGTGTGTGTGTGTGTGTGTGTGTGTGTGTGTGTGTGTGTGTGTGTGTGTGTGTGTGTGTGTGTTTGTCTGTGTGTGTGTGTACGTGTGTGTTTGTGTGTATACATGTGTGTGTGTGTACGTGTGTGTGTGTGTGTGTGTGTGTGCGTGTACGTGTGCGTGTGCGTGTGCGTGTACGTGTGCGTGCGTGTATGTGTGCATGTGTGCGTGTGTGTGTGCATGTGTTTGAGTGTGTTTAGGTATGTGTTTTCATGGACATTTTCATTGCTTGCTTTATATAATTTAGTCTTTTATCGGATATAAGGCCAATATATTAGAATCATATTATGGCCATAGAAAAAGAGATTCAGCATCACAGTTAAAATAAATATGAAATAAATGTATCAACAAAATGAATTCACTTTTGAAAAAAAAAAAAAAAAAAAAAAATAAAAAAAATAAAAAAATAAAAAAAAAATTAAATCCTCACGTGCTAAAATGCCTTCTTCTGAATGCAGGAGTGGGACCAGCTAGTTGAACAACAACGAGAGATCGAGGACAAACTGCAAGAACTTGAGGCATCTTCGCCAAGCGACGTCTATCTCTCGTCCCGCGACAGACAGATCTTGGACTGGCACTTCGCTAATCTCGAATTTGCCAATGCCACTCCCTTGCATAACCTCTCCCTCAAGCACTGGGATCAGGACGATGACTTCGAGTTCTCCGGCAGCCACCTCACAGGTTTGTTACGGGAGAGAATTAGTGTTGTAATGCCTCTTGGTGTTAGAGCAGATTATTGACTGAATGGTACTGTATATACACACATATGTAAATACAAAGATATATATAATGAGGCAAGTATATACACACACACACACACACACACACACACACAGACAGGCATATATGCATATATGCATATAAATACATATATACATACATGTGTACAGTTATACATACAGTGTATATAGATACAAAGCTTTTCTTTTTCTTTGTTCATTAATCTAATTTATGTCTACCAATTTCAATACTAAATGAGAAGTATCACGACCTGATACATCAGATCCATTAGTGAAGCTATGTACATTCTTCCAGTTCGAAATGGATACTCGTGTGTTCCGGTAGCCCTCAGCGAAGGCCTAGATATCCGGCTAAACACCGCAGTGCGCAAAATATTATACACGAACACTGGGGTCGAGGTCACGGTGTCAAACGCTCGTAACCATTCCAATCCAGCGACTTTAAAAGGTAAGACAAAGGGTTTTAATGCCGGAGTTGGGTAAGGTTATTCTGTGGTGAATGACAGTGTACGGAAGAGATCAAGATAGGTATTTTTGATGTGTGAGTAATAAGGTCTGAGGTTCTGGTGCATAGAATGATAGCGTGCTCTTTCAGAAATCTTTAACATCTACATAGGTCTATCTATTTTTTGATAGGATGTTTAAAGCTCATTACAGTTGCAATAAATGCAAGCTGTCTGTCACTTCCTGGCTACAAAGGATGCCCAGTTTTTCAGGGTTCACTAAAGCAAATTTAAGTCTTTCAAGAACTTGATTTTACACACCAGAAAAAGTATATTGCCATTGACATATCTTTTAATATCTTTAAATACATGCTGTAGGCTGTCAAAGCTGGCTAAACAGTAGCTGTAATTACCAAAAATCACATAAACCTGACAGGTCCTGCAAAACACAGATATAAGAGAATTAGATTTGGAAGTGGTTCTATCAGCCCCACCCCCCCTCAAAAGTTTTTGGCTGTGATATTCCCCAAGCATATAATTTGACTTTGAAAAAAGATACTTTTAAAAGCACAACCATATTCTATCTTGAGTTGCAATATTGTATTTTTAGTTTTGCAGTGAATAGATTATTTCTTGCTTATAATGTCTTGAAGTAATCGTGTACATGATCATTAATAGATCATAGCATTTGCTGTGAATAAATTACAGGGATTGAATTTAAAAAATCTTTTCATGTATAAGGTTGTTAAGATAATATACTGAATTTTTACCAAGCTTTATTGTTAGAATGGACATGAACAATGCACATTGCAAAAAAAAAAAAAAAAAAAATGAGTACAGTGAACTTAACCCATTCGCCACACGTGGCAAGAATAGATGCCATACCCACTTTGAGACACGTTTATATATTGTATTTACACATAGTTGGCTCCACAAGTTCTTAATCACCAAATAGCCAGTTATCAAGAACTACCCAATTCACCTGTTTACCCTTTTCCTTCACTTTAGGAAAAGTTTTTTTGTATCATTTCATTGTCTAAAATATTCTAATGACAATTTAATAATCATAACGTCAATAACAATGATAACAGTATCGATAGCAATGGTATTATTTTTCCCGTCAATTCAATGAATGAGAAAATCAGGGTCGGTAACTAGGGCCTACTGATAGACTCCTTGCCGGCTGAGCACATCTGGAGCCATCTGTATGTAACAAAATTCACCAAAAACTACAGGGGACAGAACATAAATCCGGGGCGAATGGGTTAAGCTCTTGTTGCAAGTATGCTGAATTTTAACTATTTCTTAACTGAATTCTGATCACTTTTCTTTAACTTTTCAGCTGATGCAGTTCTGTGCACACTACCTCTGGGTGTTTTAAAGCAGTCAGTTATTGCCAACCAGAATGCTCCACACACTGTCACGTTCAGCCCACCTTTGCCACAGTGGAAAGTTGATGCGATCTCGAGACTAGGATTCGGAAATCTCAATAAGGTAATCATTGTCTGTCTGTCTGTCTTCTTCATTTTCTTTTTCTTTTTCTTTTTCTTCTTCTTTTTCTTTTTCCTCTTCTTTTCCTCCTCTCCTCCTCCTCCTCCTCCTCCTCCTCCTCCTCCTCCTCCTCCTCCTCCTCCTCCTCCTCCTCCTCCTCCTCCTCCTCCTCCTTCTCCTCCTTCTCCTCCTCCAGCTCCTTCTCCTCCTCCAGCTCCTTCTCCTCCTTCTTCTTCTTCTTCTTCTTCTTCTCCTCCTCCTCCTCCTCCTCCTCCTCCTCCTCCTCCTCCTCCTCCTCCTCCTCCTCCTCCTCCTCCTCCTCCTCCTCCTCTTCTTCATCTTCTTCTTCTTCCTCTTCTTCTTCTTCTTCTTCTTCTTCTTCTTCTTCTTCTTCTTCTTCTTCTTCTTCTTCTTCTTCTTCTTCTTCTTCTTCTTCATCCTCCTCCTCCTCCTCCTCCTCCTCCTCCTCCTCCTCCTCCTCCTCCTCCTCCTCCTCCTCCTCCTCCTCCTCCATCTTCATATAAAGTTTCTACCTTAATTGTTTTGATCTGGTTTATCTGTTCTCTCCGTTGGTAACAAACTTTTGCCGATTCCAGGTCGTGTTGTGTTTCGACCGGGTGTTCTGGGATCCTAATGCGAATCTCTTTGGACACGTGGGATCTACCACAGCCAGCAGAGGTTAGATCCTGTTCTTGTGATTTTTAAGATGAGATAGATATGAGTGATATGACTTTTTCCAGTTGTTTTTTTTTTATAAAGTCTTGGTATTTCATTTTTCTTGTTTGTATTGTTTTTTCCTGTTTATTTTTAAGAAATTGTAATTTTTAATTTGTTTTGTTGATGCCTAACTTAGGGAACTTTTAATATACAGTTGGATTTGAATGTATTGGGAAGGGTTTTTTAATGTATTATCATTATTATTTATTTATTTATTTATATATTTATTTTATTTATTTATGTCTTTTTTCTTCAAAGTGCATGTCTGTGTGCATTTAATAATTTGTTTCCTCATCTTCTAAATGTTATTCCTTATTTCCCGTTTATTTCAGGTGAGCTCTTTCTCTTCTGGTATTTATACCGTGCTCCGGTACTCCTAGCACTGGTCGCAGGAGAAGCCGCGGCAATTATGGAAAATGTCAGTGATGACGTCATTGTTGGCCGTTGCATTGCAGTGCTGAAGGGAATCTTTGGCAACTCCTCTGTACCACAGGTAATGGAGTGGATCGGATTTCCTTGATTAATTTATTGGTATTGTTGATTTGATATATTTATTTTAAGTGTCACTCTGTTCAGTATTCGTGTGTGTTATGTATGTTTATGCATGTTGAACCGATTGAAGCAAAGGATGTAAAACTACATGTCTTGCTCTCTGTGTGCTTATGTTTTATTGATTGTCTGTACATGTAGATGGCTCCACAACTGTTTAATCACCAGGAGTCAGAAAAAATGGCATGTCATATGTTCAAAGGTTGTGTTAACAAAATGAACTTAGCTGGTTTCTTAACTCATTCGCCCTATGTGGCAAGAATAGATGCCATGCCCACTTTGATACACGTTTATTTATTGTATTTACACATAGATGGCTCCACAAGTTCTTAATCACTAAATAGCCAGATATCAAGAACTACCTATTTCACCTGTTTACCCTTTTCCTTCACTTTAGGATTTTTTATCATTTTGTATCATTTCATTGTCTAAAATATTCTAATGAAAATTTAATAATCATAACATCAATAACAATAATAACAGTATCAATAGCAATGGTATTAATTTTCCCGCCAATTCAGGGAATGGGAAAATCAGGATCGGTAACTAGGGCCTACTGATAGACTCCTTGCCGGCTGAGTGCATGTGGAGCGATCTGTAAGTAACAAACATCACCAAAAAACTACAGGGGACAGAACATAAATCTGGGGCGAATGGGTTAACCTAACCACCATGGAATTATGTTTTGTCCCCTGTAGTTTTTTTTGTGAATTTTGTTACATATTGATAGCTCCTCATGTGCTCAGCCGGCAAGGAGTCTATTAGTTGGCCCTTGTGACTGTTCCAGAATTCCCCAGTCCTTGAATTGGCAGGAAAATGTGTTTTTCTTTTGAATACAATTGATATCAATACTGTTATTAATGTTATTGATGTTATGAGCATTAAATATCTTGGTAACATTCAAGACTATGAAATCATAAATAAAAGTCAACGAAAAGGATAAAGAGGTGAGATAGGTAGGACTAATAACTGACTCCTTGGTGATTAAGCACTTGTAGAGCCATCTATGTGTAAATACAATAAATAAACTTAAGAATTGAAGCCTGACATTAATTAAGGTTCACTTGCATATTTTTAAGCTTCTTTGTGTATTGATTGTTATTTATTAATTTACTTATATATTCATTCATTGAATTTTTGCTGTTGAATTATGTGATTTATCTTCACTGACATCTCCCACACTCTTACTTCCAACAGCCTAAAGAAACAGTAGTGACCAGATGGCGTGCAGATCCTTGGTCCAGGGGCTCTTACTCTTTCGTCTCCACGGGGGCATCTGGCAATGACTACGACATCCTGGCCACGCCCATCTCTCCTCACCAGGCCAATCAGAACCCGCAGAATTCACAGAACTCGACCGACACACCTTCCCCTCCTCCGAGGTATGGAGTTGCTCCTTCCGTGTGAATTTTTTTCTTAGGTTTCATTCATTTCTTTATTTTGTTTTATTGCATGATTTTTTTTTAAGAGATAAGTTAACGTTATGTTTAGTCTATTTGTTATGTTTGTTATAGTTATGTAGGTGATAGTTTTGTCTTCTGTTTGTGGTTTGTTTAATCTGTCTTGCTTTAGAGTTTCATTCACTGATTGGCTCTGTAGCTCTGTATTCTTCTGTGTGGGCTGTGTAGTTGTGGTTTTTGTTTTCTTGTATGTTGGCTGTGTGGCTTGTCTATTTTCTTGTGTGTTGGCTGTTTGGTTGTATAACTGTGTGGTTGGTTTTCTAGTTTGTATGTTGGCTACATAGCTGTGTGGTTAAGTTTTTGGCCATGTTGCAAGCTGTGTTGGTTTTGTTGTTTTCTTAGGTATGTGGCTATGAAATTTATTTTATTGTGTATTGGTTATTGACCTTATTAATAACTATGTAGGTAGGTTTAGGGCTTGAATTTTGTAGGAAAAAAACGAGAGGAAAGATGGAATAAAAGAAAAAAGAAAACAAATCAGCTTATTCAAAAATTATTGTCTTCATGATAGTTTAAGTTGGATAGAAAGATGAATTAATGAAGAGAGTTATATATTTTAATGAACAACAAAGTATATGTCTTTTCACACACACAAAAAATGGCTCTGTGTTTGTTTATTCTGCAACAAACTAGTTCTTTTGCTTCTTTATTTCACATAGCACCTCCTGCTCGTCATCACCACAACAACAAACTTATCCCTTTCACTCCCAGGCCTCTTGCAATGTAATGGATTCAGGGCCCAGTATCACCTCTCAAGATTTACGAGATTAAAAATGCATTACGTATTTTCTCCCTTGCCCCAGACTGTTCTTCGGAGGGGAGCACACCATCCGAAACTACCCCGCCACCGTCCACGGGGCCTTGCTCAGCGGTCTTCGTGAGGCAGGGCGGATTGCCGATCAGTTCTTGGGCTGTCCTTACGCCGCCCCATCCTCACCTCCCACGAACGGCACTGCCAAGATCGAGACTTAGTGTTCCGGGGGGGGCGGGGGGTGTACGTCTAAGTGGAATAATAATTTAAAAGGGGCGGAAGGGGGGCAGGTTTTCAGATCTTGCAATTGAGTGTTAGTTTTAATTCTCTTCAAGACTAGTGGCATCTTTTCTCTCTCTCTCTCTCTCTCTCTCTCTCTCTCTCTCTCTCTCTCTCTCTCTCTCTCTCTCTCTCTCTCTCTCTCTCTCTCTCTTCTCTCTTTCTCTCTCTTTCTCTCTCTCTCTCTCTCTCTCTCTCTCTCTCTCTCTCTCTCTCTCTCTCTCTCTCTCTCTCTCTCTCTCTCTCTTTCTCTCTCTCTCTCTCTCTCTCTCTCTCTCTCTCTCTCTCTCTCTCTCTCTCTCTCTCTCTCTCTCTCTCTCTCTCTCTCTCTCTCTCTACGAGGTTGTCTACTTACTTTGTTTCAGAGTCAGATGAAGGATATTATGTCTCTGCTTTATATTTCAAGCTTCAATGTCAACTTTGAAGCAAACAAGTCAGTACTATGTCATAAGAATGATATACAAGCTGAGAGGGAGAAAAAAGAAAAACGGAAATAAACGAAAAAAAAATAGACTGCAATATTATTTTACTCATGGAGTTTATACAAAAAACAATATAATTAAATAATTCCAGAATGACTGCACAATATCTACAGTGCCATTATATCTCAGTTGTGCTATTTTATATTCATAATGCAAAACTATGAAATAGATTTGAAAAAAACAACAACGTATAACCATAAAACTAGTTTTGTATTTGGATGCTCTAGAATTTTTAAAAGTTAAGGTTCAAATTTCATAAAATACTATTTAGAAGTTCAGTATTAATTTAAATAACTGTACGTATCCTCCTTTTGATTTTTAGTAATTGATAAAGGAGACCTTTCATTCAGAAATTAGTGCATTTTCAGTGTAAAAAGATTAGCTTTTACACATGGTATTTTTGATCAGGTTTGTCCTTCATCAAAGTACATTTGCTTGTATACTGTGTGTGTGTAAATGTGCTTTAAATGTTCAAAAGAATCACTGTTTATTTGTAGTCATTGATTTGTAAAGAATTTCTCTCCAGGTGTAACTATTCAGCCAAGTGTATTTAGTTGTTTGTGTTCTACATTTTCAATTTAAACTCAGTTATATCAAAACATTAGAGATGTTTAGATATTTATGAAAAATACAGATCTCACACATCCACAGTGCTTTTTTTCAAAGGATATTTTCGCTTTAAGTATAAACATTGGATTCCTTCTTTTTGCTTTGTAATTATAACTATAATGTCAGCAATCTAGGTTCCATCCACAGTTTCAAGTCTTCAATTGACTCCTGCAATATCAGGCTAGGGTTATATGCATTTACAAAAACAAACGGAAAAAGGTACAATCTTTTGACATCATACAAGAGTAAGATGCCAAACGTAAGATAATGAATTTCTTGCTTTTATATCCCTATTTTTTAAGCACTTAAAAACTAAAAAAAAAAAAACAAAAATAGTAAAAAGACAGTGCTTTGCCACATAATAACTTCTGTCTTTAAATTATTATATTATGTGTGGCAAATCACTGACTCATGGAAGTCACTCTCTGGTTTAAAGGCAGAGAATGTAGTCAGTCCTTAATAAAAACAAAAATTAAGTAAGACCTGTAATTATCCTTTCTATACCCACTTTATTTAACCATTTATCTTGTATACAAAAATGGATTCTGGCAGAAATCCTTGTTTCTTGTGCTGTAAAATCCATCACTGATAGCATTACACAAAATTAGGGTTCACTGAAATGTTAGACCATACTGAATAAAGATGCTTTTCTCAGTATGGCCAAACTATGATTGAGATTGGATATGTCAATGAACTAGTGTAATCTTGAAGGCATCAGAATTTATCATAAATGATGGATTATTAGACAGGTTCCTTCATGCTCGTATTATATCTAAATACTCTCTTTGAATTGCTGCATAAGAGTAATTGCATTCACTCATTCATGTGGAGTATGTTAATTCTGGTTTATTTCCATATGTAAAGTTTTATTCTGATATGAAATTTATCACTTTAGGTCGTTTCCTAAGGTAGATGGTACATTATCCTTTATTCATGGGTAAATGTTTACAGGGTAGACTAAGCGTTCTGACTCAAGGTTTACATGAGGTCCATATACTTAAATAGACCTTGGGTCTGACTATTGACTACACACATATTTATATTGAACACACGCACTATATATATATAGATAGATAGATAGATAGATTTATGTATATATATAAATATAAGTAAATAAATAAATAAATATATATATATATATATATATATATATATATATATATATATATATATATATATATATATATATATATATATATATTCAGAAAAGGAATGAATGAAAATTAACATCTTCACAATACGAGATGTATTCAAATGGTTTTGAATATACCTTCGTCAGAAATACATACATCAGAGAAAGTACAGAACACACACACACACACACACACACACACACACACACACACACACACACACACACACACACACACACACACACACACACACACACACACACACATATAGTGACGAACAGTGACGAACCCCCCAGTTTACGCTTTTTTCCGTCGCGATATATGCAGCTTCCCTGCTTTATCTTTCGTTTGTTCAATCCTACATGGATTACCTCTGCTTCCTTCCAGTTCGGTAAATATCCAGCTTCATCAACATGCGCCACTATAGCGTTAGAAGTCCTGAAGTCCCAGTCCCATTCCTAAGTATGCCTTATTGCATTTGCTGCGGTGTATTCGATATAAGCCACTGTTGGGTTTGTTTTCGGGCTGCTTTCTGTCTCGTAATATGTTCTGTATCTTTTCTACGGCTCTTGCTGGCGATTTTCATTGTACTGCCAAAGTATCTACTAATCGCCTGAGAAATGTTATATGGAGGTAATATGAAAAAAAACTGTGAGAGAGTGTAGGGTCTGATCTTGTTAAAATATTCTCCGCCTTCTTTCTGAGGTTTATCAGGAAGCCTCTGGGATAGTTGTTTCATGAAAGAATTAATTACATAAGCAACCTCAGCCTCAAGAAATTCAGGACTGCAGATCCTATTAGCACTGAGAAAGAATCCAATTACAACCCCATATATTGTTTTATTACTGTGGACGGAGTAGTAATGGATATAATCGTCCTTAGTAGACCTCCTATACACGCAGGAACATAGGTCGTCGCCACCCCGATGAACCAGAGTGGCCAGGATAGATAATCTCTGATCCTTTTCATCCTCCACGGTGAACTGGATTTCCTCGTAGACAGGGTTAAGCTTCGTCAGCGTAACAAATCCAAGCAGAATGCCGATTATATCTCTGTGGTGATTCCTCTCCAACGTCTCCATGAAGAGGCTGGTCATGACTGTGCTTAGAGGAAAGTCGATGGCAAGACGAATTGCAACAAAACAAACAAACAAAACAAACAAAAACAAACGCAACAAATATATTGATTTTCTTCCCCTGCAAACAAAACAAACACAACCAATCTATTGATATCCTTCCCCTGCAAACAAAACAAACACAACCAATATATTGATATCCTTCCCCTGCAAACAAAACAAACACAACCAATCTATTGATATCCTTCCCCTGCAAACAAAACAAACGCAACAAATCTATTGATACTCTTCCCCTGCAAACAAAACAAAAATGCAACAAATTTATTGATATTCCTCCCCTGCAAACTCGAAGTAGCCGAAGTCCACGCAGAGTTTCATTAAGCTCATCTATCATCATCTATCATAGGCTGTGACCTCTGTGGGTACATTAGTGAAGTGGGATTTCATGTCGAAGCTAGCCAACTTTTTATTTCTTTCATGCCTTTTCTACTTTTGTCAACATGAATACGATTCAATAAAAGACACACACACACACACACACACACATACACATACTCATACTCATACTCATACTCATACTCATACTCATACACACATACACACACGCACACGTGTGTGTATGTGTGTGTGCGTGGGGGGGAGATCCGTGTATCTGTATGTAAATATATATATATATACATACATACACACACACACGCACATATATATACATATACATACGTATATATATATATATATATATATATATATATATATATATATATATATATATATATATATATATGTGTGTGTGTGTGTGTGTGTGTGTGTGTGTGTGTGTGTGTGTGTGTGTGTGTGTGTGTGTGTGGATGGGTGGGTGCGTGTGTGTGTGTAAATATACACACACACACACACACACACACACACACACACACACACACACACACACACACACACACACACACACACACACATATATATATATATATATATATATATATATATATATATATATATATATATATATATATATATATATGCGTTTGCGTGTGCATGCGTGCGTGTTTCATATGTACATGCAAAATATAAAAGCGGTCACATTTTTAGCATTCGTTAAAAACTCAACAGATTACTAAGGAAAGTAAATGCTTTTATTTTTACGTAACACACTGATTGCGAACACCTACGGTTTCCCGCCACAGTATCCTTCGAGTTAGGAAGTAGCTGCATTCATATATGTCCACCAGAACAGTGACCTTGCCATATAAATATACCTTTTACATTTAGCCATATACGAATACATATACTTATACTTACCTTGCCGAATATGCATGCATTTGCCCTATACGTATACATATACTTAAGACTTATTTTGTCGTGTACGTATATGTGCGTTTACTTTGCCGTACACGCATACATATAATAAATAAACACAGTCAGATATCACATATTTCGCCCCGTGTCATAGATTCAATTTGGCGATGCTTTTTAAACCGAGAGATCTCATCCAAGGTTGTTTCAGCTTGAGTCTTATTCGCCACAACAAGTCTCCCAAACATGGCTTGGCTATCAGTTGATTCAGTGTAAATAAACATTGTCAGATCGTAAATTTCGTACTCGCGGTTTCACATGTAGGGCTTTTTTTTGTATGTTTTTTTTTTTAATGCTACGGAGGGAAAATATCTGTTATTCCTTTTTCTTTTGGTTCATTAATACATTGTATTTCAACTTGGAATTAAAGAAAGAAAGATAAAATACACTTGTATTCAGTAATACTATTTTCCCTTACCATGAACGGGATCTAGTTACAGATTCCATTCTTGTTCATTGCACAAGGTTACTGTACCTGGCACAAGCGTACCACCGGATT